TTTTTAGATTTTAAGTAGGCATCCTCCTTTTGGAACCCAGATAAAAGAAACTGTGATGCATCTACCAAAATACCAACTTGAAGTAGAACAGGTAAATATTTTTTGTGACAAATGTTTTCATTTTCTCTTCAGGAATAAAGATATCCATAGCTAGGCTTGGAGCTGACTTTGAGTAATAAAGTTCCTTTTAACATTTTTTATGTCTATCCTTCTTCAAAGATTACAAGATATAGTGATACCGTGGCAGAAATATTGGTAACCATCATTTTAAGAAACTTTGAACAGCTACGAACTAAAAGGACAGCACCAGACTCTCACTATGTTACCCTCATAATAGGCAATGCAGATAATCAAGTGACTTTTAAGCACAAAATTATGTAAGTGTGAAATTTCTGATACTTTATCTGTAAGCATATACTATAAAAGAACAATTCCACTGGAATAAAGAGAAGTAAGATTACATTTCATTGACACTATAATTAGGTAGTTTTTCTGTGTGTCTATTAAAGAAAGTATCAGATAGATTTAACACTGGCCATAACATTTTTAAATTATTATCTTTAGTACTTAAATGAACAGAGTATAAATTCTATCACTGTGATCCAAAGCAAGTGAACAGTTGACCCTTAGAAGTAGTTGTAGTCCACTGTTGCTGAACTTTCTTATTTTGGGCCTTTTGCTACTCATTCATGATCTTTCTAATTTTGGGGTACAATCCTCTTTTAATTACCACAAGGTATATCTTTTATTTTCAAATTAAAATCTATCAAATTACTATAGCTTCACTATAGGATGTAGACAACCAGGTCAAGTATAAGATAAGTCAAAAAGTGTTGCACAAAATCATAAAATTTTTATTAATTAAAAATATCAAAACATAAAGCTATTGTTTCTCTATTAAGGTCTATACACTTCTGAAGGCAGTATTGCCATCTTTCTAACTCTTCCCTGAAGAATTATATACTAATTAATTTATACCATATCAAAACAGAACTTTTGGAATCACCAAGGATCTCACACCATATTCCTTTTCAAAGTTATTTGAATTTGGGGAACAACAGGAGGTCTGAAGGGGAAAGATAAGGGCTGTGGGTTGGATGAGGTACAGTTTCCCAAAGAAATTCTTATAGGACAATCCTGACTGCCCTTGAACAATGAGCAGGTGTGTTGTCGTGATGGAGAAAAATTCCTTGGCTCAACTTTCCTGGCATTTTTCTCACCAATGTAGTTTTCAGTATTCTTAAAATGTCTTCATAATGAGTCCCCATGATTGTCCTGTGTCCTTCAAGAAAATCTGTCAAGACAACTCCCTTTGGAATCTCATTATAACCGTCTGATCTGACATCTCTGTCCAGCAGATCCCCTTGAAAGCCACTGTTTTGATTGAACCCTTTTTTATTTTAAGACACCCTAGAAAGTGAAGAGGACTTAAAATATCTTCTGATGAAGATCAAAGAGCACAGCCTTTGGTATGGATTGCATCTCAATGTAAAGAAAACAAAAATCCTCACCACTGGACCAGTAAACAACATTCTTATCAATGGAGA